TCTCTCTCTCTCTCTCTCTCTCTCTCTCTCTCTCTCTCTCTCTCTCTCTTTCTTAAGAGCATGGAAAATGAGAGAATGGGCAAGAGTAGGAAGCATGCACTTAGAAAATATAATACAGAACTACTGCCTACTTTATATGAGAAACTTGAGACCTCAGGATCTAAAGTGAATGTGCAGGAATTTTATCACTTCATTAGAAAAAGGAACTGGATGGCTTTGCTGACTTGGTGGCCATCTGTCAGTTTTGTTTGTTATTGCGGTGCATTCAGGAGGGACACCTGACTTCTCCTTTGGTGGTCACCCCTGCTTGGTCTCAGGCCAGGTGGTTTGAATGTTTTACTAACTCCATGCCCTGACTTTTTTTAAAATCCCAGGCAGTGTGTGGAGTCTACGCTCAGTCTCCATTCCCCTTGTCATGAGAAGCTGAAATTTGAGAGGAGACAAACATGGAAATATCTCTGGAATGGACTCTTAAGAGGCTATTTATTTTTTCTGTCACCCAGAACTTGGTGTCCTTCTTTGTCCTACTGTCACTTGAGTGCCCCATATTTTGGTTCTACGAGCTGCTTCAGAGCCTTCTTATAATTTTCCTCTTTGGTTTGCTTAATTTGTGATCTAACTGATAGACTAAGGGACAGATTAAAAATGCAAGCACAGGAGGGATAGCAATAGATGACTAAACTCTGATTCCTAGAGAGCATTTTCTCATCATACACATATTTTGAAAACAATGTATTAGGTACCGGAATCTGTTTGAATTCAGTGACAATGGAAAATATTGATCCCGGCACTCTGAAAAGCTGAAGCAGGAGGATCTGCAAGTTCAACCTCAGCCTGGACAACCTAATGACTTAGTGAGAGACCCTATAGTGCTGTGCAAAGGCCCTGGGTCAACACTCAATATAACACACCCAATCTCTCTCTCTTTCTCTCTCTCTCTCTTTCACACACACACACACACACACACACACACACACACACACACTTTCTATATCTATATGTACCAAATTTCAGGATGCGATTTTCAGGAACTATAATAGTCAGCTAATTACATTCATTCAAGCTTAAAGGTAATTTTCTATGAGATCCTCTGTGAGAACTTCTAAAAGCCATTTCACAAGAAGAATAAGAATGTTAACAACAATTCAGGCAAATCTTTTAGAAAAGAGTTCTTTCTGTGAGAAAGCAACTAGAATGCTGATTTAAATTTCTCAATGATGGAAGTGTTAAAGTAATATGTTTTGAGTAGAGCCATCTATAAAACACATCCATATAAACAACACAACTTGTAAATGTGTAATAGGCAAAAAAATAAAACTATTGAAATAATACATTTTCTTCATACCAACTCTATCCATTAATTTTTTACAGTTTGCTAGCATGTAACATTACCCTTCATAAAAAATGATATTTTAAAATGAGATGGGATTGGCAAAAGAACAACGGGTAGTTAATGGAAGGAGGATTATAAAGCCGTGCTCTGCCGGATGAAGGAGGGAAAATAGAATTTAGCTGAGCTTTCTCTGAGCCACAGGCCATGGTCCACAGCCTTTAAAGAGGTGAGCAATGCTCAGAGACAGGGATTTTTATATCTTTATTTTGATTATTTGTTTCTTTTCTCTAAAAAAATCAAGCTCAAGCTGTTTTAAATAATGAAATTCACTTCAATATAATACTTTAGAAGCAGAGTTGTGAAATTCAACTGTATGAAACATTTTAAGATTCTCACAGACACTGGGATGGGTGTGTCCTCTCTGCACATGCTAGGGTGGTGTTCTTGCTGTTATGCTATTGGCAGGACAGGAAGGCATTTTCATGCCCTGGACCTGAGCTATACCTTTGATTCTGTCGCATACTTACATCCCTGTGACCTTTGCCAAGCTATTTGATCATCATTTGACTGAAGTAGAGGTTATGACTTCCAGGAAGTACTAGGTACTTAAGATAAAACAGCCTGTTGCCCTCATCTCTACCTTTGATTCTGGTAATCCATCAAATTAAGAGATAAATTATTTATAACTAGAAGCAAGTCTAGAATTATTAAAAGAATCCCAGTCAAAGTGCTTCAAGTTCATTGATATGAGGTGTCAAGTAAAAAAATCACATGCTTACAAATCCTTAAAAAATTGAAATTCCTATACTTGTGTTAAAATGAGAGTCAGCACTGCAGCATAATTTCAGAAAAGAGAGCCATCTGGGATATGATTGCTTTGTTCTCTGCTTACTCAATAAACACTGAGTATCTATTAAATACTTGGTCTGTGCTAGACATTTAGAATACAGTTAAGTTCAGTGTGACTGTGGACTTCAGAGAGCTAGAGCTCAGGCTGAAGCTCACACAATGTCAAGTGCAGGAGTGCAGGGTGAAGGACCTTATAGGAACATGGAAGAGGGAATCTCATTGGTGAGAGTGGCATAGAAGATGACAGGGACACTTTCCAGGGGAGATGGTTGTGGTGTCTATGTTAGCCTTAGAGCATGAGTTGGAATGATCAATTTGGATTAGATGGAAAGGACTGGTGTCGGTAAGATGATGTTCCAAGCAGAGGAGCAGAAACATCATGAACATAGAGACATAAGCCTACATGCAGTGTGTGTGTGTGTGTGTGTGTGTGTGTGTGTGTGTGTGTGTAACTATGATGACTATGATCAATTCATACCATGGTGCCCAAAGCTAATAGTAAAGGGGGGGAATGACAGTGAGGTTATTGGAGAGGCGAGCAGGAGCTCGATCAGGGAAGTTCTCTTTTCCAGGTTTAGTTACTTAAAGCTTATGTCGGAGAACAATAGAGAATTGAAATACCTCTGCCCAAATCTGTGTGGAGAATTGCAGGTAGGGTGGCACAGCTCATTAGGAAGCTGTGCTGTAAGGGCTTGAACAAGGTCTCAGAGGCAGTGGGACACAGAGAAGAGGGAGCCACTGGGAGTTGGCAACATGTAAGGGTGAGCACTGGGGGCAAAGAAGAGGGGGCAGAAGGTAACTCCCAGCTCTGGCATATGGGTATCTGGTAGGGAACCATGGAACTAGATGAAGTTCAATTTTCAACATTTGGTGGCATAACACACAGAAGATGTGTGCTACTCCAGTGCCAGCTCCTTAAGGACTGGCCACAACTGGGTTTTGAGTACCTCAGTGAATTGTTTCTGAAGTGAGCCACATTTATAGCTTTCTCTGGTGCATGGAGAAGGCCTGCTATGGAGAGGGGGTAAAACGTGGGTCATTTTTCAGTCTGCTCCTGAAAGGGTACTAGTTTGGATCTTCAGTATATCATTGGGTTAAGGGCTTGGGCCCCAGCCCTTGGTGCTATTGGGAGGTGATAGAACATTTAGGAGATTGGGGCTAGTACAAAGAAGTTAGGTCCTTGAAGTCATACCTTTAAAAGAGATGTTCAAATCCCAACCTCTCCTCTTCCATGTTTTTTTCTTCCCAGCCTACTTGAGATGAAAAGATTTGCTCCACCAAACATTCCTGCCATGATGTTCTGCCTCATTTCAGGATTGAAAGCAATGAGGCCAAGTGACCATGGACTAGACCCTCTGTAAGTATAAGCCAAAATAAACTGTCCCTCCAGATAAGTTGATTATCTCAGGTATTTTGTCACAGTATCAGAAAGCTCTCTTATACAACCTTTTTGGGATCATGGACTAATGATTTTAGCCCTGCAGACATAGGAGAATGAGTAGATTTATTAATAACCTCTAATTTTGAAAATAATTATAATTTGATTTATTAAAAATCACCTGCTGTGGTTCTCCTTCCGCCTTCTTTTTCAAAATAATTCTGTCACTGTGCAGAAGTTTCCCCTCACCTAATTCATGTGACATTTGGTGTTTGATGTTACAGAGGGAGTTTTTCTTAACTCTTACAAATAGTCCTAGTTTCTTCTTGTCAGGAATGCTTGCAAGTCTTAGGTGATATGAATAATCCAAGAAACATTTATTTTCCCAATACAGAAATGAATTTTTGGAAACAGATATCAGTTCTCAACTCCAGAGCTTCCCTAGATGTCACACAAAGCCACAAATCTTCCACCTCGCTTTCCTACTGGGTAAACTGTCCAGTTCTAATAGTAACCTTTTAGAGCAGAAGGTCCTGACATGAAAGAATGAATTATAAGTAAAACAATGTGTTTCCCAAATAAGCACTCATAGCAAAACTATGTATTGACTTAGTACACCTTAATGGATTTCAGAGAGCCATTAGACTCAACTGTGTGGATATTATGTGCTTTACCAACTGTGCGCAGTGTATCCCCAAATAGACATTTGACCTGTAAATATAATAAGAGAAGCTAATTTCTCTTTGAATTCTTCATTCCTTTTTTCCCAGGTTATTTTCTTAGCTCATTTTATAGCAAAGCTTTCTCCGGGCTTAGGTACTCATTTGCTCTGTTCCGAAGTTCAAGGAGTGACTGAAGTGCATTCATCCATTTTTGAGTGGTATAAGTGAGGGACATTCTACCCGCTAAGACTTGCCAGAGTTTCCTTACTAACAGAGGCATTACCCAAGTGTAAAAAGCCTAAGGAAATCAATGTAAAATTTAAAGTGTCTGTAGGAGAGAACAATTGCTTGAGAAAACAATAATGCCCCCCCTCTCCATCAATTGGAGTTTGAGGAACCTTAAGTTTACAAACTCGGTGTTTACAGCTTTAGACTGGGAGTCTGTCCAATACTCTCTGGTAACAGAGGAAGCTGAAGCAAAGGGGTTAATAATTACTGACAACTTTTTTTTAAAACAAGCAGTGTTATTGCAGAAATGGGAGTTGAACTGGAACGTTCACAATCCGAATAAAAGGGCAGGCAGGCAGGTCTGGAAAACTCACTATTGTATGTGAATCAGGAAAGTTCTCAAGGATTTTAGAAAAGCTAGAGAAAAGGGCTTATTTTATCTTTGAGAACACAATTTAATTTAGATTTTTAAGGACAAGCCACTAAACATTCAAAATCCACATATAGTGCTCTGGAGAAATGGGACAATGCTTCCATCTGAAGAAAGCATTTTTATTTGACAGTGTCGCATGCAGTGCTTATAAGACACATGTTCCTAGGTAGTTTTGTAAGAAGTCAATATACAAGGTGATATTTTGGCTTTTATTTCTAAAACCTTGTGTTGTTTACCTAGTCATCTTGGAGGTTATTATATTACTGTGAACCATATACCAATCAACCTATATGTGACTTCTTACAATTTCTAGATTTTTACTTGAAGCAATAAGAAGTCCAGGATCATTCACTGTTGGCATGTTACAGTAGAAAGGCCATTGGATTTGGGAGTAAGAAGATAGAATTCAAAGTCTCAGTTTTTTTATTTCCACAAATATGGCTCTAAAGAAATAGGATATTTCAGTAGTTTCTGAGCATAACTGACAACATCATCATCGATGGAGCCCTGTACACACATATGTACACATGGACCATCCTCCTGAGCCTTTGTTTTGAAAGGTCAGAGATTGGATCCTATTGCTTATAAGTAGCTGGGGTCAATGACTACTAATAAATCCACTGAACTCCATTTTCTCCACTAGTAAAATAGGAATAACATTTCCTTTCCATCATGCAGGATTACTGTGAAGATTACATACAACAATATACTTTTGGCACAAGCTTAGTGCTCAGAGGAGGCTCCTTTATTTCTTCTTCAGTGAGCCTTACTTGTTCTAGGTCAGAGCTTCCCAAAGTGGATTAGCCTCATGAGATGCTCTGTGGGATACCTGTGCCCAGGTCAGTTGTATTTGGGATATCACCCTTCCTTCCTGTTCATGGACCATTAGAATTTTAGGGATTCTAAAATGAGCAGAAGAAAATGAACTGGTTAAGTCTATTGAGCTCAGTGTTTCTCAAAAAGTTATTTTACGATTAAACTCTTTCTTTAAAAGGCATTATTAATTGATGTCCAGCAGAACATGCCTTAGGAAGTACTTCCCTCTACACTCTCTAACTAACTTTTCACCTTTCTGTAACCTCTCTCAGGGAATTTACTGCTTGTTTTGGTCTGATTAAGACACAGCCTTTCTAATCATCCTGGACAATGTCTGTTCTTTTCCTGAAGTGCTAATTTCAGTGGGCTCTCCTATTAGCAATGATACTGTTTAACTTTAACTGCCTGAGATTATGAAGGTAGAACAAAAATTTTCTAGGAAGGAATTAAACCATCAATTTAGAAATAAAATTAATAACAAATAGAAAAAAGTCCTAAGTCCATGGCTGTTAATTAAAAAAGAGAAAATTACACTTTGAGAGATCATACCTTACACTTGCAGCTAGTTTGATGGGATACAATTAAAAGCTCAAGTTTGGCTGAGAGCTAAATCAATCCAATAGTCAAAAATATCTTGATCAACACACTCATAAATGAACTAAAATGATTAGATAAGATTGGTGTTGGAGGATAACACTGTTGGAGTTGGCAATTTAAGAGTCCATGAGAAATACAATGTAGTTATGTAGGTTTTTGAGGCAATGTAATTTGCCTGAACCGTATTTTTTTAAAAAGTGGGCTCTTTTGCTTCTAAACATCCTCTTGAAAATGACAATGTGTATCTTCAGTTGAGGTGTATCTGTAAAATAATCTCTGACTCATTCAGGGCTAAGTAGAAGAGGGTGCACCTGTATGAATGCATGGTTTGGGATGGATGAAAGAATAAAAAGAGATGGATGCAGGGTATAAAGGTCAAAGTCAAGTCAGGAGGAGTTAGCATTAAGAGTTTGCTTCTTCAGACAACTACTCAAAATATGCTTATTTTTTGCAAGCATCTTGCTTTTGCAGGTCTGCTATGAAAATCTCAGAAGAACAGCTTTGCTTGTGAGCTCTCCGATATTTCTACTCTGGTCCTGGCCAGAAACGCTGTGAGAACACCCTTTCATTTGGCATTTGAGCCCTTCTGCCTCTATTCTTGGCTGCAGACCAAAGGGAACAAACGCAATTGAACATTTCAGAACCTCGAAATAGTAAAGCAAAAATGGTTTGCTCTGCTTTGGGTTCTAAAAATGGTTGACCTGAGAGTCTTATTCCAAACTATCTGCTTGATCCATCTCGAGTGTGGATTAATGGATTTTAGATTACCTTGGAGAACAGTATTTCTTAAAAAATAAAGAAAAACAAAGAAAATGTGCAACCAAAACTGTTATAGTAAAGGTATCCAGTTGCTACAACAGAGGTTAGGTTTTATGAGCATGCTTTGTATTCCAAGGCATTTAGACCAGAAGGGCCTTGGAAGTGAGAGTGGAAAACATGGTGAGTTGGTCCATCACTAGCTTAGTGACCAGGGCAGATTCCTGAGGATTTATCTCCTTGGGGAAAAATTAATAGAAATCAAAATAATTATAGCTATTTGAATTGAGTCATTATGAAAAGCAAGCTCTTTAAAATACATTTAAAATTATAGTGCTCCTGACCATGTAAAAGTCAGTAAGTTAGAGTGACTACAAGTCTGTGTGTTACCACCGAACACATGTGGCTTCAAATCTCTGTTCCTCTGCATTCCAGCTCTGGAACCTGTGTACATCACTAGTAATTTCTGGACACTGATTTTATCATCTGTGAAATGGGAACAGAGTTGCTGGAGAAGTAAATCAAATAGCTGGGCATGGCAGTGCACGCCTGTAATGCCAGCACCCAGGAGGTTGAGGCAGGAGGATCACTGTGAGTTCGAGGCCAGCCTGAGCTACATAATGAGTTCAAGGCCAGCCTGGACTCCCTAGTGAGACCCTGTCCCAAAAAAAGGAGAAGTAAATCAAATAATGTAAAATGGTATTGTTGCCTAGTTTACATATACATAGTTCTAGGTGCCAAAATAGATTCTGCATCTGAGAACCCTGTGAATTATTTTCCACACAGTTTTCTGAATCTTATTGAGCTGACACAGGAATGATGCCTCTGTGTGTGGGTGGCTGGGTAAGGGGGCAGATTCCTTGCTCAGATCCAAAATATGGATTAGGCTCAATGGGGGCATCCAAAAGAAAAAATAAAACACTCTTGCAGGCCTATACCATGTGTAAAGCAATTCAATGTGACTGTAGTTCTCTTTATGGTCCCTACATATATTAAAGATAGAGATTTAGTAAACATTAGATTTGATTAAATAGTACAGCGTCACATATGTTATCCAGTGAAAATACTGTCTTTAATCTGGCCAGCAGGACTGACTCCTGCTACGCCTCTGTGGTGTTTGTTATGTGGTCTTCTCTCTTCCTCCCTTCATAGTTAAAGCTTGTGAGTGAATAACCCTACTGGCTGCATTTCTTCATGGATTTGGAATCCCTGTATATTTCTATCCCCAGGTACTGATATCCTGGGGATTTCTGACTCCCCAAGGTCCACATCGAATGACAGTTTGAAATGACCTTTCTCTTTTGTCATTGTGGGTATTTTACCTTCTGCAGCATTTTCCCCCCAATTATACTGAATCCTTTTCTATTGCCTTAAGGTGCTTCCTCAGGATTCTGTCCTGTATTAACTTCTCTTTGCCTGATACCTTAAGTAAACCCTGCCGTTCTCCTGCTCCAGTTATCTCCCCTACCCAAAACTCTGGGCCACCATAGTGTTCCTCCTAAGCTTGTTATCTTCACCTGGATTTCATCAAGCTCAGTGTTCAGAGGCGGATCTCATCAATTGTCTCTGAAAACGGGCCCTCCTGTCCTATCCCCTTTGTTTCAGCCATTTTGTTTGTGTATGAGAATAAACTTCTCCTGGTGTGAGAACTTCAGAACCTCAGCATTATCTTGGTCCCTACACTCTCATTTGACCTCAAGTTCCAGGAAATTCCCAAGTTTAGTTGTGAGCTTGTCAGTTTTATCTAACCATGTCTGCCACACTTGCGGGGTGGACAGACTGATGCAGGGGTCTGCAGGACTCTGTGGGATGCTTGCTCTTGCAAGTTCTGAAGACAGTCGCTAGAACTCCGGCCATTTCTTCAGCATTTTAGACAGGATAGGAGGAAGACCACAGAACCAAAGGGAATCTGGCAAGGGCCAAGGGGCACCCATGAGGGGAGCTTTCCTGAAAGAACTGCTTAACAACTTTTGGGTATATTGAGTTGACCAGGGCAGTGCTGCATCTAATCTACCAGGGAGGCAAAGAAGAATAGTTCAAAAAATTGGACCACAGTGCTGTTGCAAACAGTTAGAACACTATTGGAAGGGAAGAAAATACAAAATGAAATTGAGTAGGTGACCAGGTGTCTGTACAAACCTGTTCTCTTTACTTTCCTATGTTTTCTTAAAACCAACCAACCAACCAACCAACCAACCTCCCACTGAATTTGGTAGGTTAAAAGAGACTACACTTCCTTATTTCCCATCCTCATCATTTTGCTTCACACACTTAACTTTTGCTTAAATTTTTGCAAAGTTACATGTGTGTCCCCTACTCCACTGCTACTGTTTCCTCAGTTCATCCACCCATTTGTTAGACAAGTGAGTATTAGTGATAGGCGCTGTGGAATATGCTCAGGATGAAAAACACCACATCCTTTTTCTTAATTTGACCTACACATTGTATACCTGTCACAAACATCACAGTGTTTCCTATAAATATGCACCCTTACTATGTATCTATTAAAAATAAATCAATTATCCCCGTGATCTTTGTCTTCAGGTGCATATAATTCTGCCAGAGAGACCAACATGGCAACAGCTGGTCCCAGTACAACACAGCACGTGACGTAATAGAGATGGATGAAAGGAACTGCAGAAGCAAGAGGAAGCCATGGCCACCTCAGGCTGGGAGAGTCTGAGGAGCAGAGGAGCAGACATTGTCAGCTGAGTTGTGTTTTAGTAAGGATTGCTTAGACCAATGTAGAGAGGAATGATGTTTGCATGTGTGTGTTTGTAAATTATTCCCAGTGAAAAGAAGAGTGACTATACACTTGACCTCACCCCAAATTTAATTTTTAAAGAAAGTAATCATAAGTAAAGATAATTTCAAATATAACACTATAGGGCATAGTATTGATAAATGGGAAGAAAACTGGTTCTTAAAGAGCGTCCCACTCACTTACCATGCCCTGAAATTAACTGAGAGCTCATTTGTCAAGAGTGCACCTACCCTACAGAGAATTCTTCCAATTAACATCAAAAGCGATCATTCTTAACCTCTCATGCATTAAGAAAAATCTTGTCTGCACCCAATGTTCTGTTCATAATCAATGGAGCCCTTTATGTATGTTATTTCAAATTTATCACCCTGTATATTACTAGAATGAATGAATTAATAAATGAATCTGCTGTAGGTGCAGAAGCTAGATTTATTTGTTGTCTCCTTGTTCTCATGGGGGTTTTCCTTTGGTCTCTAGGACATTTCACTCTGCAGTTTCTCATAGTATGGGATATTTATTGATAGCTACTGACAGCATGTGTTGGTACTCATAGACCCACAATGGCTGTGTTAGAAAAACGCTTTTCAGGAGGATTAGTTCTATTCTGAAAAATGTCAGTCATGTCACTATCAGACTATGCTAAGAAGACAATGCAAATGTTATATCAGTTCTAACACTAGTATGTTGTCACAAAAATGTGCCTCGAGATAAATTAAATAATACTTGATGCTGGCCAGGTTGTGGGAAGATTGATAAGTTTGTAAACTTTGGTTGAGAATAAAATAGCGCAACGTTCTTGGTGGCTACTATCATGATATGAGATTAAGATGTGAGGCTATATCTGTAAAATATGACCCTTAATTTCTGCCTGTAAAAATCTACCTATGAAAATGATTAAAATTTAGAATATGACAGAGAAAAGTGGAAATCAGAGCATTAAATACACTGCAAAAAATCCAAGAGATAGAATATTATGCATTCTATCAAAGTTTCTTTCCTCAAATAATTTTTGATTATATAAAAAAGTGCCTGTTATATTTAGTGATCAGCAAGAAGAAGATTGTTTTAAGGTCTCATCCCTCTCTCTAGGGGTAAATGGCACCCATGCACATGCGTACGTATGTTTCACTTGGTCTGCACTAGAGTGTTAAGAATATTCTGAGTTTAGATGATTGCTATTAACTTCAGCGTTGTCTAAATTTTATAAATTTCTACATCAGGAAGTGTGAGTTTCACAATCAGGAATAAAAAAGGAAATCTTACAGTGGAAGCTAAGCAGTGATCACGCGATAGGATAGGAAGGGATTGTTTTTCGTCTTTTTCATATGTAATTGTCTATACTAACAATTCTCTGACTTGCATACCAAGTGAAGTCAATTTCACTGAAGGTCTCACTCACTGGCCAGAGTGTGTGCTCCAGGCTCTAAGCAACCCCCACCCCTCATCATCCTATCCTCCACACTGACATTCAGTGTTTTTTTTTTTTTTTTCAAACCAGGCATGGTAACATGTGCATGTAATCCCAGCACTGTAGAAGGCTGAGGCTGGAGGACTGCATGTTCAAGCTCAGCCTGGGCAATTTAGTGACTTAAAAAAGATACTGTCTCCAAATGCAATACATGAATGAATGAGTGAATGAATGAACGCATAAATGAACAAATAAATAAATAAATAGGCTGAGGATGCAGTTCAGTGTGAAGGTCCAGTGTTTAATGGCCAGTTTTAAAAAATAATTGATTTTTCTCTCCAAAGCACAGCTATCATCACTTTATTCTCTCTCCGAAAACACAGTTAAAACTTCCTGATTATTCAGAGTGTGCTCTGCTCGGCTCCAGCTCCTGTTCGCAGGCTGATACCTCTGGTATCTGCTCATCCTCTGACACTCCAGCCCAACAGGCGGCTGGTTCCCTTCATGACAGCTTCACTCTGCCCTCGCCGTCACTTTCTCCTCGTGTTTGCACGTTCTACTCATCCTTCAAAGCCCTGCTAGAATTCCCAGGATGCTCATTCTGAATAAGGGTTTTTCTCTGTTACTTCCTTGTTGCACTGTATTGGTCTCTTTTATTGCATTTCTTGGGAGTCTACTTGTTTCATGCTTACTTGTGTCTTTCTGTCCTTGTCTGGTTAGTTCCCCAAATTATACCATTCTTTGTGATTACCAGTTGTTAGCATGTATCACAGTCCTCTAAAGGTTGCTTAAAGTAGAATTTTTGGGTCCCATCCCAAGTATTTCTAATGCAAGAGAACTGGGGTGGGGATAAGAAAGTCCTTTTCTTATAAGGCCATGGGTGCTGCTGCTACTGATGGTGACAGAACAAACTTTGAGAACTACTGCTTTCCAAAGAGAAGGAAAAGAATGTAAAGCAAATAAGCTTCCATGTCTGTGCTGTGGAAGGGAGAGCACAGACACTGAACTCTTAAGATTTTATTCAACAAGAGGTAGAGTCCCATTCTGTCACTCAATGCTGGAACAGGTTACTTAACCTTTCTAAGCAAGTTCATTTGCTTGCCAGGTAGTTTAGGGACATTACTACCTCTTACACAAGACCTTTTCTGAGAGTTACACAGGATCTTGTTTGCAAAGTAACCAATAAATGGTGGCTACTTCTATTAATACATTTATTCTATACAATCACCTTATAAGATAGATTTTTGTTCCTTTTGGCTACATTATATCCCACACAGCTTCCTGGACATTTAATTAAAGGATATGTCTATTGTCATGATTGTTATGGTTAATATTCATTTTTAAAGAAATGTTGAGAAGAAAGCTACATTAAAGTAATTATTAAAGAAGGAACTAATATCAAAAAATACAACTTATAAAACCAAGTTGCTGCAGCACAATGCCATCGTACAATGCTTTGTTACTTCCTGGCATTAGTAGTTTCAAAAAACATTATAAAATATAGTTCAATTTTCTTTATTGTTGCCTTTCTTGGGGGGGGTAGAGGCATTTTTATTATAGATTTTATGATAAATAACTTGACTTCCACAGCACTTTTGAATTTGCTAGACATTAAAACAATAGAGAAAGACCATTTTATAAATTGAAAATTCACATGTGTGAACACTAAATGCCGGGATTTGATTTTTTTTTTGTTTCTATAGAAACAAAAGAAAATTGAGATTAAAATAAGCTAAAATGGAATTATGTTTTATGAAACAGATAAAGGAGCTTATTTTACTTGTTTCCAGTGTAGTGTGGTAAAATACAATTTTTATTTAAAACCCAAGCTGTCTGTGCGTACTTTTGCCTCTTGAGGAAAAGTTCTGTTGGAAGAGAGGGTGGGCATTTGGCATTGTGGTGTGGTGATCAATGGAAATTCACCCTTGGTGCTATTTCCTTCCAATTATTAAAAATGCTAAGGATGGATTGAAGAGAAAAGGAAGAGTGTTTTAAAAGTAAAAATCCAATCACTTCTGTGTATTGTTCAAACAATGAGAGTCAGTTTAGCAAAGGTGTTAATGTTAATGTCTTTGGGTGGTTAAGCATAGGCAAGTAGGAACAGATCAAAGAAACAACATTTTCCACCACAATGTGAAGGGTGAACCATGTAAGAGTCCCCAGGCAAAGAGGAGCCCAAGCCTCTTCCCAGGCCAAGCAAGTGTCATTTTAAGAAGCACTGCGGAGATATCCAGGGAGCTGATACCTACTGGTACAAGGCTGAAGAGCTTTCAATACAGCAGAGGTCTAATGTGCATTGTTGACCTGTGTTGCTTCATTGTAAGACTGAGATATTTAGTAAAGTGTGACATATACTGACACCTGTGGGATTGGTTTTGGGATTGTCAAGATAAAAGGGTAGGGCTTCACCACTGGGTCAGCATAGTTACAATGGGAAATGTATTGCTTGTAGTGGAAAAGATGGAAGTGTTTGTGGATTCTAGTGTGAGGAAAGAGAAACCCAGATATAAAATAGTGACACAAATATATCTTACATCTTATATGTCTTATATCATTCACCCATTTAATTTATAGAAATACTGAGAATATGCTGCTGTGTTAGCTTTCACTTACTATAATGAAATATCTGAGATAACTAACTTAGAAAGAGAAAAGGTTTCTTTTAGCTCTCTGTTCTGGAGACTTCAGTTCAGGATTGATTGGCTACATTATTTTAATCCTGAAGTGAGACAGCAGATCATGGTGGGAGCACGTGGGGAACAAAACAACTCACCTCATGGCCAGGAAACAAAGTATGTCAAGAGGAAGGGACCAGAGTCTCACAGTCCCCTTTGCTGGGTCACTCCAGTGACCTGTAGACCTTCTATTAGGCCCTACCTCCCAGAAGTTCTATCATCTTCCAATAACGCCACTCTTTGGACCAAACCATGGAGTTTAGGAAGACATTCAACATCTAAACCATAGCAAGGCCATTAGACAAGGTGACCCCAGCTGCTGTTCAGGTTATGTTTGTACTATTTAGGTAATATTAAATATAGCATTGTTCTAATATTAGAAATCTTTGGTATTTTGTCTCTTAGTCATATTTTAGTGTCTAACACAACCATATTTTCATGTATTACAATGATTCTAATCTAGGTAGAAAAGGATGCTTATCTGTTTTGTATGGATTTGCTATTGCCATTTAAGTAAATTGCAAATCAATTGAAAAAAACATTGAAGATGCAGAAAATCTAAAACCACTGTCTAAAACAGTGGTAAAGTTTATAGATTTGTTATATAAAGTAAGATCATCCCCTAACCTCAAGGCAAAAGACTTGAGTTTGGAATTCCTGTATTTGTTGAATTTGCATAAAGAATTTTGTCATTTTTTTTTCTTATATAAAATAGAATAGGTACCTATATCACAGCATTATTTGGAAGATGAGCAAATAGGTGACCCTCAGTAAATGAGTAGAGTTTATTGACTTGGCAACTTGGTAAAACATCACATAAGATCATTAGATCTTTAAAATGCACTTGTAGAAGACAATCAGCTTTACTTCCCGGGAACATACTACAGGTAGCAGAAAGTTGGGGAAGCCAAATCTACCTTGGAACATTAACAGGGTGTTAGGAAAAAAATGCATGTGCTATCAGCAATAATGTCTACAGTATCATGAAAGTAGGACAATCTTTCATCCTTTCAAATTATATGGTACAGTGGGAAGAGTTTTGGATTGAAAGAGTTCTCTTCTGTGAGAACTAGCATTTATGAAATGTTAGTTCTACTTTTCTGAATCTGAGCTGTAAGGTCTGGATAATGGAATTCATAAGTTCCTTCATCAAACCCACAAGAAAGTATCACAAATTATACTGTGTTGTGGAAAATGACAAAAATATGCATAAAATGGAAATAGATCCTAACCACCTCCACTGGGGAAGTCCAAAGGAGGAACTGGCACACCTTATTTGCTTCCCCAGTCATGGAGGCATAACTAGGGTACTTTCCTGTTTTGTCCAATATTGAAGAATCAAACA